GAGAGAGAGAGAGAGAGAGAGAGAGAGAGAGAGAGAGAGAGAGAGAGAGAGTATTTGTGCCGTTTTCTTCGGTGGGTATGATGAACTATGTACCAAGTAATAATACACATAATATCATTATCACTCCTGGTTTCCATTAGACCTCTTCTTCTGTTCGCCAAGTAAAGAGATTTTTTTTAATTGAGGGGGAGGTGTCAACGAATATTTTGTCTGTTTTCTGATGTCACAACCATCTGTTGCCTCCAACCACGTAAATTGTTTGTATAGTTCGTAAGCACAAGAGAGCAAAGTTAGTCATGAAGTCACACCAGTAAAGCTCACTCGATACCAATGACCAACACAGTCTCAGCAATAGAACTCGACCAAAATGTCCGTACTTTCTCTCCCCCCCCCCAAAAACAAAACAAAACAACAACAACAAAAAACAAAAAACAACACCCCCATCCGGTCCGTATGCTTATTATCCAGCTAGACTCCGCACCAAGGAGTTTATTCCGCACTCCCTATAGTAACGTTTTTCTCTTTTTAGTTTTAGTAAGTGTTTTACAGCGCTTGCAACACAATAAGGTCATATAAGTGCCGAAGATTACAGGTGTTACAAGAAAGTAACAAACACAAAAAAGAAGGAGGAGAGATAAGGACGATAGATGTTTGATAGGAAAGAAGAAGCAAACCACACCAGAGCACTCGTTAACCACCCACAACGATATTCTCTGCGCGCGATACAGGACTTGCAACATTTTTGGCATTTCTTTATAGGTGCTACAGCTAAATCCGTTTGTATGTTTGTTAGAGTAAAGGGAAGCACATCGACACGATAACAGTCATTTAGTGCTGGAAAAAGGTAGGATACAGGAACAGCAGAGGGGAAGTAAAGAAGTAGGACCTAGGCTACCAGTGACACCCTCCAATCACCCGCTCCGCCTCCGCCTCCGTAAAGAGCGCGACCCGACCCATTCATGCGTAAACTTAGATCATGTGGTGAGACATTTGCGGCAGGTCTATTTCCTTTTAAAATGTAGGTGATTTTACACCTCCATTAACACAATAAATTTAGATCATTTATACGGAGTGCCCATTGGGAGATCGGGTCTGGTCGGGGTGGTTTGCTAGCCAAATTGAGGGTGCAAAGCGGCTATCGTTGCATAAGTCGATCGCGCTCGACTCGTCGCCTCAAAAACAAACGCGTTTATCTTTAGGCGATGAGTGAAGCGATCGCCCCCGACCCGACCCGACCCGATCCCATCCGCAATGAGCACCCCGTATAAGAAGGCTGGCTTTCGTCCTTGCCTGCCAGAGCTAGCCCTAGATCTAGCTGATTTTTTTTTTCGTAAGAGTTTTACTGCACTTGCAACACGATAAGTGCCGAGGATAAGAGGTGTTACAAGGGATTAACAAACGCAAAAAAGAAGGAGGGGAGATAAAGATAATAAATGTTTGATAGGAAAGAAGGAGCAAACCACACCAGAGCACCCGCCAACCACCCACTGCCCTAGCTGAAAGGGACACAACATTCCAGAGCAGAAAGACCGAGATGCTCGATAAAAAATTATTTCCTTACGGGAATCGAACTCGGGTCTCCTGCATGTAATAGAATATTGCCAAACTGCTACACCACAGATGTATAAAAAGTTCAAGAAGAGGAGAGATAGATATACCCCAGGACAGAGAAGACGTAATACGTGAAAATAATGATGTGATTATCAATCCACCAAAGATTTAATAGTAAAATCTTTCTTTCTTTCAGATATTTTGAATTCTTTTGGAGATCATATTGCAGGTTTTCTAATACAAGGGTGTGAAAAAAAGTTCTTAAAAAAACCAACTCTATAGAGTTTTGTTTTATTGGTGAGAGTTTTATGACACTTGCAACACAATGTGGTCATCTAAATGCCAAAGATTTATAGAGGTGTTACAAGAGAGTAACAAACACACAAAAAGGATGATTGAAATTTGATAGGAAACAAAGAGCAAACCATACCAGAGCACCCACCAACCACCCATGCCATTTTTAAGTTAAATGACATTATTTTTCTTTTAAAAAACCTCCCCCACTGAACATTTATATGTATGTAATATAAAACACACTTACAAAATAAGCCTACCAAGTGGATAACTAGCTCACAGCCAAGCTTCTTTTCACACACACAATACAATTTAAAAAGCAATAAAAAATCCATCAAATATTGACTGTACTTTTTTATTCACCAAAATTACATTAAAATTCATAAATTTCACAGGGCATTTTGTTAACAGTTCAATGATTTTCTTACAGGAAAATGTGTGTGTGTTCCTGAGAAAAGGGTCCATATAATATAATATGTCAGCAATCTTATAAATAGACACTCATATAAACATTTTTCAATTTTGAATCAGCACCTTTTGAAATTTTTCAGATCTTTCAAATAACTTTGGATACATGTTATATTGCAAGACAAGGGTGCAAACATTTTTTTAAAAAAACAGCTTCAAAGTGAAATGACATTATTTTTCTAAAAAATAAAACAAACACTGCCATTCACCTTCAATTCATTTATATTACTTGATATCTATTCTAATGTGTTCAGTAGAGAATTACAGATGTGTTAAAATGTGTACAAATGCAAACTTGACATGAATATATGCAAGAAATTAGGTAAGACTTGATGTAGAGCCAATTTTTTGCTGGGCCTACCCTTGATATGCACAAGTAGTGCCATTGGAATGTAAACAAAAGTATTCATGCACACTGCAACTGCATCTGCAATTCATGGTGTAGGGTAGATAATGCCTAACATTTTCATCTTTACCTTGACAGGGAGGGTGCGGTAGTGGAGCGGTTAGTGTGCTCGGCTCCGAAGCGGAAAGTCCGGGTTCGAGCCTCGGTTCGGACACTGATTTTTTTCACCCCCTCCAGCAGTAATGGGTACCTGACTTCTGAGTTGGGGAAGTAAAAACAATCCCCAATGTCCGGATCGGATGCGGGAACAACTTTACTTTACCTTGATAGGTGGTATGTGACAAATTAAAAAACCCATCGGACTGTCAAATGGCCACTCAAATAGAGGTCTATTTGTGCCAGGTTTTTATTTTTCATATGATTTTCTCAAAAGATACCCCTTAAATTAAATAAAATAGCTGTTTTACCTCTGGGGATTTGATTTCCTTTAGCATTAATATGAATTTTGTTTTAAAAGGCTTTGTTTTAAGTTTTGAAGAAAGTCTATGGCAAATCTTTTTGGAATATGATTTAGGAACAGTCAAACTTTGATCTTCTGGTTGGACTACAATTTTGACCCCTGATCACTTACACCTTTGTAGGTCCCCGGCTCCAGACGTACAGGTGACATATGAGCCCTTTTCTCCGACACACACACATAAACATCACACACTTCTCTCTCTCTCTCTCTCACATCCTCATAATGGCCTATGTTCGCAGTCATGTATGCACTTGAGATGTGTGTAGAAATTTTTTTAAAGCAGATGAACACTTTTTACCACCGGCAAACTTGCGATAATTTAGGAGGTTGGCTTTGATCCTGCCTGCCAGGGCTAGTCCATGCCGAGAGGGATACAACATCCCTGCAAAAAGACAGACACGGTGGATAAAAATTTCTCCCCTCACACAAAAATGGAAATCCAGCTTTCAGAGTGTGAAAGTGCCGTGCCTCACCACTACACCACAGACACTGGTGAGGTGAGTAGTCAAAAGGAAGCAAAGAGATACCAATTATTAAAGAATCAGTCAGAGAAACAAGCATTGACAACATGAGAGTGTGACAGTATTGGAGAAAAGTAAGATGAACGGTAAATATAAATATGCTGATCTCCGTACACACATCACAGACACTTTGCTAACTTAGAATTACAAAGTTCTATCTGATTTTGGCAGTATTGAGTAACGAAGACCATGACGCCAGAAACCAAATGTTCTGTCTGCTCTATCAAAATCGTAAGCTTATTCGGAGTTGTCATCCAGATATTCAAAGAACTGCATTCGAAAAAGCTTGACATGATGTAAAACTTAAAATCTTCGACATCAAATTTCTCAAAACTAAGTACTGAATAGAGAGAACTTTGTAATTCTGAGGTAGCAAATTGGCTTACACTAACAGCCAAAATTTTTAAAATATTGAAACAATACAAGGACAATATTAGGGGCACCCTTCCACAACTTGCATCCAGTCGAAACTCATTTAGAATTTTACATATATATATATACAGTGAAACCTGCTCCAACAAACACCCGTATAAGACAATTTCCTGTACAAATGGTCACTTCCCATTTCTTCCTTGGTCTTTTTTATATCGTAACGACATAGTGTAAGATGGCCACTTTTCCTCCTTGACAAAAAGGTGACCGACTTATAGACAATTTCAACTTCATATATATATACAGTAGAGATTTCATCGCTGCTGTTTTGCCAGTAACATGATGTATCGCTTTAGGTCGGTGTGCTCCACCAGGTGCTCAGGCTTTATGGGCTGGGTGTTCCCACATCCTCCCACAGGGCATCTGACGACACAATGAAATAAACAGAAAATAGAATTTAGTGAATGTAATAGGAAGGTTTTTAAAGTTACAATTGCAAACTAAGAGTCATGGTATGACCTTTTGGCAGGTTTTATTCAATAATCAATACAGCACAGTCTATTTTTATAGTATGAGTTTGATGGCACTTTCAACACTATAAGGTCATAAAAGTGCCGAAGATGAGGGTTACAAGGGAGTAACAAACACAAAAAAGAAGGAGGAGAGATCAGGACGATAGATGTTTGATAGGAAAGAAGGAGAAAACCACACCAGAGAACTCTCCAACCACCAACACAGCACGGTTAGCAATGAAAAAGAAACAAGACAAAATACATGAATCATGAGCAATGGAACATTGTACAGACATAAATATGTAATTAATATGTCCGTTTAAATTCAAATCTGCACAACTGCTGGATTTTTTGTTTAAAAGAGGTTTCTCAAATAGAAGATTTTAAAAAATCAGAAGCAAGACAAATGAATAAGTTTTAAGATGATACCAATAACTTCAATTGCCCAAAATAAAACTGACAAGTGCCTGATTCCACTGTGCCGTGACACAGTAGTATTTTCGATAGACTTTTGAGTAAGAATTTGGGAAACATCAAGTAGACACAACGGTGTAGTCGAATTGAACTCTAACGGCCACCTGTATAAGAAGACAGTCACCTGTACAAATGACCACTTCCCATTATAATAACACTATGTAAGGCAGCCACCTGTCTAAGAAAACCACTTTTTTCTTCGACAAAGAGAGGCCATCTTAGAGAATCTCGACTGTATTTGAAGGACCAGAAGAGAAACCTGCAACCAGAGGAAGAGAGCGAGAGACAAAAGTGGACAAAGTGAAAAATTTTCTCCAACAGCTCTAGGAATCACAGATTTCCACAGGAAGATTTTCATCGTTGCTTTACGATCAATTGAAAATGGACCAACAGCATTCTGAAAAACATCAGGTCTTATGCAAAATCAGTCTGAGAGTTTTGGAAGGAAACAAAATTTAATACATAAAGAAATCATGTTCTCTGCAAGGTACTTGGCCACTCTGAATTTACCACACGAAACTTTCTTTGAATTAAAAAAAACTTTTCAAAATCCCTACAAAGTATGACTTACTTTGCCCTAGCTTTCTTGGCCCGGATATGCCCCATGATGCCATCGCGGTCAAACACGTGTCCACAGATGGTGTTACGCACAGGATCCACCATGTTCTTCCCCGTGTAGGGACACTTGATGTTGACCTCTGTCTGGGTCAAGGCCACTTCATCGTCCTCTGTTTCGCCCAACAGGTTACTCTTCAGCGTCTCCAACTCTGCTTCTGTTGCGACAGTACAAAAATTATGTTTTAGTAAGAGTTTTACGGTACTTGCAAATACAATAAGGTAATATAAGTGCCGCAGATTAGAGGTGTTACAAGAGAGTAACAAACACAAAAAAACAGGAGGAGGAGAAATCAGGACGATAGACATTTGATAGGAAAGAAGGAGCAAACCCCACCAGAGCACCTGCCAACCACCCACAAAGAAAAATTAAACCCAGTTTAAAAAAAAAAAAGGAAGCAATAACAGATTTAATTTCAATTCATAGCAAAAGAGCAATGATGGGAGACAGTGAGGTAAAGTTGTACATTGTATTGTAAGAGATAAAGTTGTACACTGTATTGTAAGAGGTAAAGTTGTACACTGTATAGATGAGCTGAAATTGTACACTGTATTGTGAGAGGTAAAGTTGTACATTGTATTGTAAGAGATAAAGTTGTACACTGTATTGTAAGAGGTAAAGTTGTACACTGTATAGATGAGCTGAAATTGTACACTGTATTGTGAGAGGTAAAGTTGTACATTGTATTGTAAGAGATAAAGTTGTACACTGT